GGGGAAAATAATGCTTGCCAAAACTACTAAATTAAAAATGAATTAAGTAGGACGAGAAAGTGGAGGATTACGATAATTTATACTACAAATTACAAACGTGTGAACTGGTCAGTGTGTCCTCTGGCAGTGTTCCTCAGGTAGTAAAACACGTATACAGCACTTTCTTTTTTTTCTCTAAAACCTGACGGACAGCGGGAATGTAATCTACATGTCCACCTGTAAGCCACATTGCCTTATTTGGTCGTTCCCTCCCTGCTGGTTTCCTGTGATTCTCATTCCCCAGGGGTTCCTCTCTGACAGGCGTCTCACTTTTGTTTCCCCGATTCTGTTTCCCGGCCCCGTCGTTCTGCAGGCCGTCCCTAACTGGGCTTAATTGGATGCATCAGCTTTGAGCGCTAGCGGGAGTTCAGTGTGTTTCCAGTTAATCATGAGCAGACTTCCCAAACGACCAGCTCAGTGGGGAGAAAACGGCTCCAGGGACCAACTCTCAGCCCTGCAGGGAGGACTGGGGGAGTCTGAGTGCTGGTCTCTTGAGAATGCCAGCAGGAGATTTTCCCTCCAAACCACTGGGTTCTTGCAGAGAGGAAGAGAGTTCGACTCTGAGCATACAGTGCTCCAACATCACCAGTCCTGCAGCTAATAATCAATGACTACGGTCCGTCATTTATCAGCTCATATTCGCAGTCATCCCGTGACGTCCTGCCGTTAAAGGTGAAGCGTTGATGTACGTCTCGTCGGTGAAGGCGCTGCAGTAAAAGTAGACACTTCTTTTTAACAGCGCTCACAAACGATTTGAAAAGCCAATTAAACACACAGAGCGAAAACGGCAGATTAATCTTCTGATGCCGGACTCCAGACACTTTGTTAAACGGCCCGGTGAGTTTTAGCGGCTCGCCTCAGAATTTACCCGGCCACATGGCCTGGCTCGCCCGTTTTGATATAGCGTCCCATCGGGTGTCCGCTGCGCTGAAATAAACAGCAGCTCAACATCGTCTGACTTGTCAGAGATTCCCAGGTGGCCATGAATCTGCAGTTCAAATATATCCCCTACAACATATATTTAAAGGCTATTCGGGGAGCCGACAGCTACAGGCATTCACACACTCGTTCTTACATGTCTTGCCGTCCACCATATTTGCAGTAGCTGTCTCAGAAATGAGCTTTTCTCTTCGGTAAAAATCAGTCACTGTTTTTGGCTGGCTGAGAGAGGACAGGAAGATCTGGCTGAAGAGGAAAGGTCAGAAGGAGAGACAAAGGGGCACAACGGTGTAACGTCTGTTATCGCTACGTTATTGAACCTTTAAATGCTGAAAGTGGGCTCTGGGGGAAGAAGTGATTGGAGAAAATCAAAACCTGTAAAGTTTTATTTTGTCCCGTAGTCTCTATGTATAAACAGACTATAAGTAATTACGATTTCTCTTAAATTTCATCTTGTTTTTTGATGGAAACTCTAAACTGTGCAGCCATTCGGAAACGGACTGGAGTGATTTGCAAAAGTTTTCTCACCAATCAACTTTTCTACAAAACTTTACTCTACATTCTTTGGGGAGAATTTATGAACAAAGTAGTACCTATGTTTTTTTTTGTTTTAGAATTTTACAAATAGAAATTTGAAAATTGTGATGATAATTTGAATTATATCCCCCCTGAGTCAATATATCGTAGAATAATCTATTTCTACCAATAATCTATTTCTACTATGAACCTAGCTTAATATGTCTTTATGGTTAGTGATGTATGAAAAGCTCAATTTCAAGCAACCAAACTATCCTTAGCCTGGTGATGGGGCCAGTAAATAAAGCCTGGTGGCCCGCCAGGCTTATAATACTCATGGGGAAACCCTGTTATGTAGTTTTACGGAATTTGCTAATCAGAAGCAGCACATTACACTGCACTGTTTGAAGAACAGGCTAAACCTGTTGCATTAACAGTATAACAATAAATCTGCTGGTTCTAGTTTCCTTCTCTTTTGTTACACAGAAGGTATTAAAGAATTGTTTCTGCCTTAAATGTTGCAAAAAACCGTGAAAAGTTATGTTGTATCTCAAAATAACTTTTTTCCACAAAAGACATTTTGGTTTGGTCATTTTGTCGACATTCTGCCTAAAGCTATCGCCATCCAAAACATTTACTGCCATGTCTGATGCGTCATGCATAACGCATTTGTCTGAAAAGTGAGATTTACTATCGATATCCGTTCACAATTGCGCTGCAATAAGTGCAATCTCTTTTAAACTCATTTGTGTTTTTCTACTTGCATTTTTATTTTAATTAATGCCACTTTCTTGTGAATTGCGATGTAAATGTATCTTCCCCTAACACCAGAAGCCCCTCAGTCTGCCTCCAGGCCCACTGAAAGCCACTAAGCTTCATATTCCTGCCACCATCCTTCTTTAATAATTACCCCATCCTTGAATTATGCACTTATTAATTTTTACGCTCAGCTGAACCCTGTAATGGCGTGTGCTGTAGTCGAGTGTGTTGGTAATCAGAAAGCCAAATGAGAAATCCTCGGCCGTGATGACGAAGCAGAACCACACATCAAAGTCAATGCGAACGCAATATGGCCGACCTTGAGCCAAAACGGCGACGAGCTCCTCCCGACGCCGCGGGAGAATAACGATTATGTTCACTGAACTGTGAATGCGCGGCCGACCTCATTATGATTATTGTTCCATTTGTTGCTGAGATGTGACTGGGCGTTGATGTAATGGAGTCACTTCATGAAAGGAAAATGACACGCATGCAAGGTGACAGTCAATTGGCCAAGATGGAAGCTGTCTTCATTCCGGCTTCGCTGTGCAACGCCGCGCCCTGAAAGTGTGCGCTCCCTCGTTCCTGTCAAATGTGCTGACTAAGCCGTTATGTCTTTATTAGATGTAAACTGACCTCAGGTTCACCAGGGCTCTCCAGCCCTGCTGGCACGAAAACCTCTAACAACAACAGCAGCAGCAGCACTCGGAGCTTTCCTCCGTCTCCAGGCTAAACATTTCAGGCCTCTCTCCAAATAAACCGCCAGAGCCTGCGCCAGGAAAGAAGAAACAGACCCTTTTTTTCTTTTTTTTTTCCAGAGGTATTGAGGGCGATGGAGAGGGAGAAGCCGCAGTTCTGTAATTAGTGAGTTTAGAGAGGGAAGGAGGGTAAATAGAGAGCGGGATGCAGCGAGCGAAGGGAAGCTTTTGAGAGGAAGAGGAGTTATTCAGTTGATTCCTTTTATTCGATGTTCCTCAGGCATCCTGATCAGCTCTGGCGGCTTAGCCTCGTCATTAACAGCTTTGGATTTAATTAGCAGTCATTAAGCCTCTGTTTTACTGGAGGAGCTCACAAATATTTAATCACTGTTTGGGTAATGTACCATGCGTAGCGTTGCTGATATGAATGCAAAGGGGAGAAACATGTTATTCGCTTAGCACTCTTTTATCGGTGCGCCGCGTCCGTAACGGATGCGGCCTAAACATTTAGACTTACACCAGGATGTCACGTTCACCAACTTTCTTCTTCTTTCCTCAGAAATTTGACACTGAACAAATGAATAAAGTACACAATGGAGCTGCTTCACAAAACAGGGGCAGAGATAACAAAGCAATCAAACCAAATCAATGCGAAGGCCCCCAGGCCAGCAACGATGCATAGTTAATTTTTACAGGTAACATAACGTGGATCTGAGAATTTCATCTCCACTAACTTGTTTTCCAGTTAGTTGCAAGTTTGAAAACCAGTGGGACTTGCTAACTGTTGTCATGATTCGGTGTGTTGATTGGAACCCAAAGGCAGACAAACAGAGGTGAGGAGCCGATGGTGACTTTTTAATGAAAGAAAAATTAAAACAAGAAGTTGAAATGCAAGAAGAGGAACACAGGGAGCGAGGGGCAGGAATAAACGGAAACCGGGTGTCTGAAGTTAACAAAAGGATCCAGCAAGGAGCGATTGAAGGAGAGGGGGTTGAATAGTGGGACGTTGATTGCTGGAACAATGGACTGGTGCTAATTAGGAAACAAGGTGCAGCTGTGAGGAGAGAGCAGAATGCAAGCTGAGGGAGAGAGAGGAAGAGATGGCACAGAGAGGCAAGGAGGGGGAATAAAAATTAACTAAACACATGGAATGAAAATAAACTGAAATAACTGTGAACAGACTGGTGTAAAGTAAACACAGATCACAAATGATCAAAAACCATGAACTCAGGAAAAGACAAAAACAAAACCAGATCCAGTCAGTAAAAAATCAAATCGATACTCTGAGTTTTTTTTTTTTTTGCATCTAAACTCCAAAGGATCTTGTCATAATCACATGTGCAGATTGCTGTGAGCCACTGATTTAACGTCAAACAAGAAGACAGAAAAGCTTTTTATAAAGTCCAGATCTCTTACTACCTGTAAACAGCTGACATGTGAAACTTTCGGGTTGGAACTGATGAGACATTTTTCAACTTTTCAAGTTGTTTTTTTTTATTGTTATGTTGAAGGTCATGACTTACTACTGTGAGGTTCACACTTTGTGAGCCTTGTGAAAATTATTGACACGTGGATGTAGTTGTCAGAAGAACAAACTGAATTTGAACTTTTTTTTTTGTACCATAAAGAGTTTATATTTAAATACTGCGGCTGAAATACAGTTAAACAAACCAACTGAATGAGTCGGTGAATTCATTTGGCCTGACCAAAGTATTTACTCTTCAAATTGTGTGATTTATTCAATAAATCCTGGAGATATTAAAGTCAAGACAAACACATCACGTTTAGGGAGTTAATTGTTGCCTCGTTATTTATTTATGAAGCTAGTTGTGTTAAACACAGTATTTAACTGTACAGACAGAGACAAATAACTTTGGTTTAAAAAAAAAGAAGTAAAAAACTCTTAAGTATTAAACATACTCTCCATTAAAAGTTTTGTTTTTTTTACTGGTCTGACGCATTATTCCACTTTTAAACAGGGAAAACAGGTGCAGATAGTTTGTCTTCCCTCTTTATTAATCTTTATCGTTTCTTCACTCGTCTTCCTAGGCTCTGCTTGGAGGCCAGGGACCCGTACTGCGGCTGGGACTTCAGGCAGCGCAAATGCACGACGCTGGAGGAAAGCTCCAACATGAGCCAGTGGAAACAGAACATCACCGTTTGTCCGGTAGGACCGACCTCGCTCGCTCGCTCACTGCGTTTACTGCACGCATCCATCGGGCTTTCTGTCGCACAGCCCAAACTCAGCAGGTTGTTTATCTCTGCACACGTCAGCGTTTACATCACTGCGTCTGTCTTCTGGTGAAATGTCAATAAACAGTAGCGACCCGGAGCCTCTGGACGTCAGGAAGCCGCCATGTGTTGAACACATGAAGTATGTGTTGGATTATGAGGCTTTCCTGAGTTTTTTCAGACCTTCTCCTCTTGTCGTCCTTCTATGTGGGAGCTCAGGTTATTCTGCCCAAGGATCTGTGTTTATGACCTGGACTCACATTGTTTTTCTTTGCTATTATTTAGTGTCTGTTTATTGGCAACTATGTGATTTCATATCAAAGAGATAAACAAAAAACTAAATTCTCCATGATTAGAGAACACCAAATCTTACCAAGTAATTTTAGTCTTGTTTCTAGTGCAATTATCTTATTACACTTGAAATAAGTGAAAACTAACATGCAAGTATCTCTTCAGCAAGGAGCTCGTTTTAAATAAATAATTCCTTAATATTGGTGAAAAAGTTTTTTTTTTTCCCGCTGGCAGATAAATTTACTCATTACAAGACAATTTACCCATTTATAAGTGAAATAATCTGCTAATGGGACAAATACTTTTTCACCATGATTAAGGAGTTTTTACTCAAAACAAACGTCTATATCTTGCGTACAATTTACTTTTATGTTAGTTTTGTCTTAATTCAAGTTTACTAAGATAATTGCATTAGAAATTAGACAAAAATACTTGGTAAGATTGTATGTTTTTGCAGTGTGTGCAATGATAAAACTAAGATATTCTCTACGATTGGAAAGTCTGAATGTTCCAGAAAGAGAAAAAAAGGATTTTGAGATTCTTTAGGGCAGCTTTAGAAGATGAAGATTAATCTGTTTTACAAATTTAAAAATGAAACAATATCAAATAAGTAAGTTTTCCATCAGTAGCTCGAGTGCAGTCAATTGTAAAACCTGTGTTGCTTTTTCATTCCTCGAACATTCACTTCACAGTGGACTCTCACAGTGAAAATGATGTTTGTCCTCCAGCTGCGGAACCAGACCATCGACGGCCGCTTCGGGTCCTGGACGCCGTGGCACCCCTGCAGCAACGAAGACGCCCTGGACGGCGTGAGCTCCTGTTTGTGTCGCTCCAGATCCTGCGACAGCCCCGCCCCTCGGTGCGGCGGCAAAACCTGCGCAGGGCCAACCATTGAAGTCTCAAACTGCTCCAGGTCAGAAGAAAAAATTTATTTGTTTCAGTCGTAATATAATTTGTGCTGAGTTATAAACTAGGACATCTTCAAAGTTATATACACTTAAAATGGCTCAAAGTCACCCATATGCATTTCCTTATGCATGCTAGCTGCTAGCAGGCTGCTAGCATGTGCTAACTAAGGTAAAAGAAAGGTACCTAAACTAAACAAATGTTCTCTAGCGTGTGCCAAAGTCACTGACACAAGATATACATCTTACCATTTTTACTTTATTACACAGAGGTTCAGTAAAATGTGTTGTGTAATTCAAAATGGCCGCCTGTGAAGATTTGATGAGCCCTCTTCTTGTCTCAAATCCAAACAAACTGGACTCTGCGCTTGATTAAAACCACAAAACTATTATTACAGATTGTTTCACTGGCATCACACCATAACTGTAGCATTGATTTTGATCACAGGAGGTTCTGGTTTGTTATTTAGGTGACACCAAGTTTCCCCCTGAGAAATTCCTAACTTCCTTTGTCTTCAGCAGAATGGGCCAATCACAGAACAGAGACAAAGAGTTGAAGCTCTTTCATCCCACTAGTAGCTATGGCAGATTTAATCCTTGGTATGGAAATTAAATTGTGCTTTTGTAGAGAGTGGCAATTAAATCATGAGGAGAGCTTCCCAGGAACAAAGCACTTAAGCAAATTGAGTGAATGTTTCCTAGTCAGAATGAGCTCGTTTTTGTGTGTGTGTGTGTGTGTGTGTGTTTCTGCTCACAGAAGTTCAGAATTAGAGCAGTGAGTTAAAATGCAGAGCTGAAAAGGTATTTTTGTATCCTCTAATTCAGCATCGTATTAACGCCTCGTGAGAAAACAATGTTAAGTCATTAGTGGAAAAATTAGCTTTCTGGATAAAAGCAGCCCCGGAGGTGGCTAACGTCTGCCTGTGCGTCTGTTGCCATAGAAACGGAGGCTGGACACCGTGGTCGTCGTGGGGACAGTGCAGCACGACCTGCGGCACAGGCTTCGAGCTGCGCCAGCGCTCGTGTAACAACCCGTCACCCCGGCACGGCGGACGCGTGTGCGTGGGGCCCACCAGGGACGAACGGTAAAATGATCACTTCTAAATAAACCTTTGCATTAATTCCCTTAGAAAACTACATTTAAAGTTTAATATCCAAACATAAGCATAAACGCATAAACAAAAAAGTTTGATACATGTTGTTTAATTCATAGAAGGAGCTTTAACCCTATTAAGATATTATATTTCTTTATGCAATTGGTACTTAGTAATAATAAATTATGCTTTGTGGATCATAAAATCCACTAAACATGGTCAGATTTTGCGACTGGACTTTATCATACTTAGGGAAGTTTCCACATTGTGTCTAAATTACGTAGTTATGCATCATATGAGTTTAAGTTTAATTTTAATCTTAATTAGAAAAGACTCCATCTTCTCTTAAAACAATTCATATCAAAGAGATTTTTCTAATGCCATTTTTACCTTCATTGACTCATTCAAAAAAATGTTTTTATGCAAACTTCTTGAATGTGCAATTATAGATTTGAAGACAGACGAGGGCTGAATGGTAAAAGAAGGGTACTGAATTATGTCATATTATGTTTTAAAATATGTTGGCAGGTAATTTAACGCCTAACCTTGATCTAACTTAGCCGTCAATTTCGATCGAAACTTGATGAAATTCTCCGGTGACATTTTGCGACTTTCAGCCACATTCAGCAAACTGAACACGTCCCACCACCGTCTTCTCAACAGGTTCTGCAACGAGGGCGTGTCGTGTCCTCAGCCCATTTTCTGGACGCCGTGGGCCTCGTGGACCAAGTGCAGCACAGAGTGCGGCGGAGGCGTCCATTCCAGGGTCAGGTCCTGTGAGAACGGCAACAGCTGTCCAGGATGTGCACTGGTAGGGAAAACACACACTCACAAAAACACACTCCGACTCAGAAAATCACAAGTGGTGGGTGTAAAAAAAAACAACAAAAAAACAATTAAACTGATGCAAAAGGGTTAAACATGAGTTTGGTATTATTTTTTTAACTAGCAAGGGAAAAATAAAACATTATCAGGATATTAAAAAGAAAACAAAACAGCTGACAGTGGAAGATTTTAATGACATGCAACGTAACGTAACTCTTACACAAGAAAGAGTCACGACTACAAAGTTTATATCAATAAATGCAGCACATATTATGCTTCTTGTATTGACAGAGAAGAATCTGGTGAATAACCCAATCCTGATGTCCCGAACAACTGAATAATGCTAGTTTATGTTAAAGTAACTTTATTTCTAATAAACATTAGTGACAGTAGTGTAAAGAAAGAAAGAAAAAAAGAAAGAAAGAAAGGACACCCATGCCCACATTTGAAGCAAAACCTGCTTAAAGTTCTCATTTTTAAAATATTTTTCAATCTTCCTCACTGGAAAACATAATTTATGACATATTTAGGAAATCTTTTTAGAAGGAAATTCTGACTGAAATCAGAAAATCAAATCAAAATAAAAAATAAGATCAAATTAACTTCATCTCACACTCTACAGCTCAAAGTGAATATGGTGAATGAAAATTATTTGACACTTCTTCAGTAAAAGACTCTACTTTTGAAACTACTTTAGGTTGTTTTAACATTAGAATAAAATCCTTTTGTGTGCAAAAAAGCTTCGGCTAACGAAGCTTCTTCTAAACGTAAATAAGACTTTTGGCACAGCGTCCTCTGAACAGATGTATCCAAATTAGAGCTAACAGCCACAACAGATAGCATCTGGAGAAAAACCAACACATAGTTTTAATACACACGCCTCAGACCACAAACATAGTGGTGATGGTGAGGATTTGAGCGAAACGCACCTTTGCTGTCTGAATCAGCAACAGAATAAGTAAAAAATATTAATCTAAGCCAACAGAAACTGTGTCTCTGATGATGTAACAGAAAGATAAAGTCACACCAAATTTATGCTTTTTATGTAAGCAGGATGCAGAATTTCTTTACGTCCCAATTTAATCTAATTTAGGAAATGCTAGTGTAAAACAAATAGCCACTTTTCTGCTTTTCATGTATGAGTAAAACTTGTCTGTGAATGTCCACTGTGTCCTGTAGGAGTACAAGGCCTGCAACCTGGAGGCATGTCCAGAGGTGAAGAGGAACACGCCTTGGACGCCCTGGATGCCGGTCAACGTGACCCAGGGCGGGGCCCGCCAGGAGCAGAGGATGCGCTACATGTGCCGGGCCCACCTGGCCGACCCCCACGAGCTGCAGATCGGACGGAGGAAGGTGGAGACGCGCTTCTGTCCAAATGACGGGACGGTGGTCTGCGATACGGACAGTAAGTGGCGGACGCAAGTACAGCTCTGAGTTTACAGCAGCCAATGAGGAGGCAACTCTGCCACCTCGAGATGTCTGATTGCTCGACTCATTTTTCTTTTCGTAGGTTTAACGGCTCGCTTATAGGTCAAAGTGATAGCGTAGCGATAGATTCTGAGGTATTGCAAAAGATAAGGACTATTACTGCACCCACTCAATGTCCAGAGAACATGACGAGATGAGCAGCAGCACATATTTGTATTCACAGAGTCACACTGGAGTTTTAAATTTCGCTGTGTTTCATATTTGCAGCGGTTTTCTGTCATGTAAACCAGACGCAGATTTCGAGGAGCCGGGCTGAATACATTTGTCCTAATATTGGGTTTTATTTTGATGCAGCTGTGATCGATGGTGCGCTGCCTGGCTTTCTACAGCCCATTGACATTTCCATAATTCTTTTCCCCAAGCAGCAGATAACATCAGTGTCATGAATTAATATTTTTTTCACCAAAGGAATTTTGATGCCTACGGGTTTGGGCTGTTTTACGTGCTGCGGCGCGTTTCGTGGCTAGTCTTCAGGTTTGAGCTGCCAATCCATGCCAGTTATAAAATAGCAGTCTCTCTCTCTCTCTCTCTCTCTCTCTCTCTCTCTCTCTCTCTCTTTCTCTCTCTGTGGCTTATTGTTAGACAATGTAGATCCTATAATGCTAATATTTCTAAAATGCTTCCAGCATTGCCAAACCCAACATGTTCAGCCACATTGCTAAAGCTCAAAGGGATAAAACAGAGAACATTTGATGTACTTCATTCAGCCTTCCTGTTATCTGCTGAACCTGAACTCCTTTTAAACAGCTTCTTACATCTTTATGCTTCCTGACCTCTCTAATAATGGAAGTATCTGTCCTCTTCAGTAAAAATCCAGTCCTACACCAAAGAGTGTTGTTAAGACATGAGCTGGTAGTGCTTATGTTGTGTGTTGATTGTTTTGGAAAAAGACTTTTGGGTTTAAACCAGATGGTTAAAGACGCTTGTTAAGCTGACATTTGGCTTATTCTGGTCTCTGGTCTACTTATCAGTGGATCTCCAATTTTTAGGAATTAAAAAGAAACGCACACAAGAGACGTATTCATAAAGCTATTTGTGTGCAAACCAGAAATGTCTCATTTTTAAACTACTCACAAAGAAATATTATCCCTTAAATAGCACTTCCCTAGCAAATAGCATTTCTCTCCACTGACACACTTCCCACATTTAAATCTCCATGATTTTTAGGGGAAGTTCTGCCTTTATTTATGTGTAAATTACAGCCGTAGAAAATTACTTTGCATTCTAAAAAACCATAATCATTTGCATCTGCATGTATCCAGGGCATCTGTGTTACTTTCTGTTGCAAAAATAAAGCAAATGCCACATGAAAAACGTTGCAAAAATACCAAAAAACCCAACAAAAGTTAGCAGATTGCACCGCTTTGTGAATTCCCCTTCGAAACGCGGTCAGCGTAGCACCAGGGTCTGATTTCAAATTGTCCATCTGTTTGCTGCAGCTGTTTTCATTCGTTAAGATTCCAAAACAAGCCCTAAAAAATGACATCATTATGGTCGGTAGTGAAGATTAATTTCATAGTTAACGGGAAGTAGAATTTGAGTTGGTGATAAACCTGAGTGGCCTGGATCAGCTGTCATTCAGAGAGCAGAAGTCTTAAGAGCACCAAGCTAAAGGCGGCAGGAGCTTGATAAATAACTCAGCCGCAGAAAAACGCTGCAATCGTGGAAGAGCAGAGTGTTTTGTTTACATCTTTGAGTAATTAGCAATAGGACAGATGACTTTGCAGAAGCATGCTGTAGCATCCGCTGCTGCCGTGTTGTTTTTCTCCTGAGTATCACAATAATAATCTGCCAAATGTATTTGTTGCAAAATGAAAAAGATCCAATTTTATAAGAAAAATTATCAAATAAATCAAATTAATAATGGAAAAATGGTTGATAATTCAAATGAATAAAAACAGTCTTTATTTGAAATAAAGATTTTTTTTTTCCCCAGTTTAATCAAAGTGGACATAATAAGGCCAGTTTTTGGTTATTCAACTTCGCTTTTAGTTAAAATTATTTTCCAACAATTTACTGATTTTAAGGACTTGATGTACTTTTTCTTACAAAACCACATTTAAATATCATGCAGTCAATGAATAGCAGTTGTGCAATCCTTTGTAGGCTTATTACTATGTTTTGAAAGGATTCCAGCTGAACTGGATCCCACTCACCCTGTCCTGCCACTCAATTTTTTTATTTTATTTAACCTTTATTTTACCAAGATAAAATCCCACCGAGATAAAAAAACAAACAAACAAACAAAAAAAAACCCTCCTTTTCAATTGACGGGGAGCTGCGTACACAGTGCAGATTCTGTTCAACATTGGTTTTCTTTTTACCACTGTAAGGTTTGATGGCTTACAGTCGGTCTATCACAGGGGCCTTTTGGCTGATTATTGCTTTCCTTGCCTGACTTTTCAGTTTAGGTCGACGACCATGTCTTGGTATTTTCGAGACTATAAGTCACTCTGGAGAATAAGTCGAATTAGTCAAATAATGTGATGTGAATTGGAGATAAAGAAACATAATGATTCCCTGGTCTGTAAGTTTCATTTATTTAGAAGTTGTCAGACATGAGGGAGATCTTGTCCATGTTAATGATATGATCCTGTGGCACTTTTTGTTCAACCAACCTATGGAAACTTTTGACTGTATTGGACGTCTGCCGGCAGTTTCTGACACACCAGCGTCCATGTTCTAAAATCGGGGAGTCAGGAATAACCCGCTCCTCCGGTGAAGCGCGCAGCGGGGCAGAGACGCATGCAGTAAATATATGGTGACAGAGAGGATGTTGCGTAGCATGAACAGCTAACACCAAGAAGACCCTTGCTGCAAATTCAATTATATTTATCTCCTTGGCAACTACCAGGACGTGGAGATGTAGCTGAACTGTTTAGGATCATCAACAGCTGTTCCAGGTGTTTCAAAAAGTAGCACCGACAGACAGACACAGCTATCTAAAGTAGGAATGTCTGACGAGGTAGCAGATCGTCAGAACGCGGGCAGCGTGTTCACTTGTTCCTCGGGCTTTGGCCAAACAATTAGCTTACCTCGCTGCTGCAGTTTGTAATGTTTGTGTCATGTATGTCTCTATGAATTATGGAAAAAAAGAAGACGTATATAAGTCGCTCCTGACTGCAAGTCACAGAACCAGCCAAAGTATGAAAGAAACTGTGACTCTTGCCTTGAGGGACAAAAGTCAGAGTTTGAATCCTGGCCTGGAGTCTTTCTGCGTGGAAAGTCCAAAATCATGCCAGAAAGGTTAATTGGTTCTTCTAAATTTTCCCTTAGGTAAGAGAGTGAGTGTGTGTGTGCATGGCACACACGGCGAGAAGCAAGCATGTAAAGATTTCTTGCAGCAGATCCATGATACACCCCCACATCCCCCCCGCCCCGTCAGACCCGTTAGCTCCGCTACACGCTGTTAGTGACGGGATCATAGTCCGGTACTAAACGCACCCACTGACACACAGGGAGTCGCACACAGCAGCAGACTGATGTTTGCCACTGGTGGCCTTTTCACACAGCCCTCTCCTACATCGATTACCTGTCTCCCCCTGTCAGCCTCCCGCGGGTCGGCTGCATCGACTTTAACAAACTGATGAAACACCGACAGCAGGGAACTGTGGGATGCAAAAGATACAGACCTTGAGGAGAGAGACGGTGAAAAATGCCTCTTGGTCGATTTGCATGCTTCCTATCGCTGTTTGTCGATACCAGCTGTGGTTATGATTCTTCACCTTGAATCAAACTTGGGTACTTTAATTTAATTTTATTTATTTTTTATTTTTTTAATCTCTCCATCTGCAGGCCTGGTGGAGGAGTTGCTAAAAATGCCAGTGGTGAGAACGGCGGGGACGAGCTGGTCGTCGTGGGAGACCTGGTCCAGCTGCTCTCAGAGTTGTGCCAAAGGTTACCGCACCCGTCGGCGGACCTGTTCCGGGCCGGAGGGGAAGAGCGCCCCCGTGGCGTGTCGTGGTTCCCCTGTGGAATACCAGGACTGTAATGTGCAGGCATGTCCCGGTGAGTGAGTCCAACTCGGCTACCTTCACTGTGACGGAGAAAGAATCTCAAAGCAAACAGGTTGCTCAGATCAGGATTTATGTTTAGATAGATATGCATTTAGTTTTATTACTGTACTTGAGGATCAGCTAGAATATCCTTCAGTTCATTATTCACATTGCATCATCTCTGAATTGTCTTCTTTGTAATCCTACTTGTTACTCTTTGTTTAAGACATAGATGAGCCTGCAGTGTCTGTGAGATATTTCAGGCATTTCAGGATGACTATCTATTTTGGGAAAGAACATCTCCCCTTGGTACGGACATAAGAGCTATAAAACACATTGAGTGCACATAGAAACCCCCCAAAGCCCAATAAGGTCCTGTTATAAAAAAAAAATACTGTTATTGCACTTTGTGAATTATAGACTGAACTGCACTTGTTTCCTGTGAAATGTGCTGAAGGGTCGACTCCTAAAAGAGTTCAACAACACCTGTCGTTTTAGAGGGGCTTGTAAAAGTATTCATGACTCTTAATGTTTTTCACATTATGCCACACTATGACCAAAACCTCAGAGATTTCACTTGTATTTTTACGGTACATATCTAGTGTCTGATTGTGAAATGGAAGGGAAATGATGCATGGTTTTCAGATTTTTCCACAAACAACTCTTTGATGCATGTCTTTACCAGCTGTGCAGATCAAAACACCCAACATATGCAGGGTGGATGCTGCCTACAAACAATGATTTTTAAGTGTCTCCATTGAATTTAGCTCATGGACTTTGACTAGACCATTCTAACACATGATTATGATTTAATCTGAACCTTTCAAATGAAACTCTGGCCCAGTCTGAGATCCTTTGAAACTTCTAGTAAAATAGTCTGGCACATTTAGCATATTGGGCAAAGAGTTCAAACGGGTGGAACAAAGTATTTACATTTGTATTTTTTATTTTTTTTAACGGGGGAAACATGTTTCCAAATTTTCAAGATCCAAACTGCCTATTTGAACAATTTGAATGGAGACATTTGTCAGTACGTAGAAAGTTGTTCTTGTAACATGGCAACACAGGGAAAAGGTCAAAGGGTATTAATTCCTGTCCAAGGCACTTTATGGCAAGTTTTAATATTCCGAACATGGAACATTAGCTTCAAACAAACAGGTTAACACCCGTACACATGATACTTTCCAAATGTAAAACATTAAGTTTACTTGCTAGCTTACCTCAACAACAGCTCTTTCTAAAACTGTATTTACTGTAGGGGAAAAAGCAAGAAGTAAGCTGATGTAAAGTCTTTTATGCTGATGTCTCCAGCACATTATGGGTTCCTAAAGAAAAGGGAAGCAAAAAAAAAAAAAAAAAGAGACCGCTGTAGAGACAGAGTGCTGGGGGTCAATGATAGTTATAGAATACTGCTGAGTGGGCAATTAACGTCATTAGCTAATGGTTACCAGCAGCTGCAGCCAAGCAGGAAGAGTTCCCGAACAAATGAAGTTATCTGTTTCAAACTCCTCATCAAACCATCATAATCAGCTGACCCGGAAAAGGCGCTGGACCGGCTCTGTTTATTAAACACACACACACTCCTTAAAACAGACAAACGCATAAAACAAGCAGCCACAGCGAAGGGCCTCCTCTGAAGAGATGGACCTTTATCTTCTTGCCTGATATCTTCTGAATTATTGATTTGTGTTTGGCTGCTTGAATCTGCGTTTGAATGTTAATTGTTGGCGTTCAAATGAAGTCCTTACTTAGAGAGACGTAACCTCGGGTGGCCCGGATGGCAGCGAGGAGACGTTTTACCAGTTCTGTCACGTTTCCGCGTGGCCCCCCGAAGGACGTGCAGGTGAGAAGGACGAGGCCGGCGACAGAAGAGAGGATGAGTGTGAAATAGTAATTGATGATGAAATTAGAGGGCGGGATGGAGGCAATGAAGATGGCCGAAGAGATTAAAATATGTCCGTCTGTGCAGTGGAAGCGGTTGTCTGTGGGTCCGATCGGCGAGGCGGTCAGAGGACAGAGCTCCGGCTTTCATTAGGTTTGGACTGACAAGAGGTTTGATTTAAAGTTAAATTTAAAAAGAACAAAATCCCAGTTCGCTTTTGAGAGTCGAACGTGAATTTGTTAGCAACATTTTTAAACTTTAAAAGCGCACACCAAGCCTCTACTCAAGAGGAGTATTTGATTCAGTCACAAAGCCGTTCGTCTTCTTAAACTGAGTCTCAAGACTTACCAAATGAACTCCGAGAGTAAAACTCTGAAAATCTAAGTATTTTCAAAGCCACACTGCTGAATTTTTGCTTTTTGCCAATGACTTTTACATTGTGGGGTGAACAGAAAATAATTTGTGCCGCACTTGTTTCTGCCTGCAGAGAAGAAAAATATCAAAAGATATCTACAACTAACCAGACGTGGGCGTTTTTTAACAGTATTAGCAGCAGAAACACCACGGTTTACAGTATCGTGGTATTTAACACAATTGGTGATGATGGATAGATTTCTTATTAAAGTTATGGTAATTATTAAAACATTTTTTCAATTTAATACACAGACTTGAGCCACATTAATATGTTTACAGTTAGTTTTTGCCAGTCTGGCCTTTAAGCCGTAGCTCTTGGAGGTTAACAAGCTGATATTAATTCTCTGCTTAGCTAACAAGTCTGAAGTGAAATGCTTAACACACGCTGAGTTTCCCAACAGCCAAACTGCTTCTGTGCAGTAGCCGTGTTTTAGCTAGCTGACCAGTTGTGTGCAGCAACAGGTGGGGGAAGGGAAGTTCTGCCCATTTGTGACTATATCCAACAATAATTCTCAGTATGGTTGTTTTTTTTTTTAATTTTTACAAATCTGACTAGATTTATTTGTCGCTGCCCGTTAAGTTTTGATTTTTGATTGATAACCAGAACTGTTTGACTAATGAGACCCAAAATGTGGCTGGTATGAAACAACAAAACTACTGATCCCATTTGCTGCACAGAGAACAACTCCAGCTTTCATCTCTTCACCTGTTTTAACTCTTTAATTTATAAACATTTTTACCATTTTGTACCTGTAAACAAACCAACTTGTACCTGTGTAATTAAACCGATCCTCCAATTTAATTTGAGCTTAGTGTTTTCATAAGGATAGGAGACAAACAGTCCTCAAAATGTCTAAACTGCTTATTACTCTATGTTCCAATTTATCGTATCATTTTCCCATTATAGACTAGAAATAGGATATAGAAGATCATTCCAGATAGCTGTCTGTCGAAGCAGGTACAAAACGTTCCCATGTACAAATTGGCACTTGGTTGGTATGAAACTTCCTGGACGAACCAAAACTGCAGCACCGACGCAACAGCAGTTAAAAAGCTTGAGTGTCATTTTATAGTTACCAGAATGTTAAAAAGTAGAACTTGATTTCCCTGATAAATGTGTTCTAGCTCAGGGAATATTTTGATATTTACGGTTTATCGGGGTGACTTCCTATAACTCGGTGAGTCAGACGCTCATCCAGTCAGGTTAGAGTCAATCAGTCGGAGACGTGGCTCGCTGTGAGAGCCGGTTAGCGTTAAATAGCAACATCCTGCTTCTCCCGCTGTCATCCTCTCTGCTAAACAAGTCTCCACTCTGCCTCTCAAGTTACCTGGCAACGACGCCTCCCTGCCTCCGTCAGGCAGACATCAGCCAGTCAACCAGACGGTCAATGAGTCACCCGCACTTTTCTGATTAGATCAGACGAGGCATTAGCAGTCCCTCCGCTTCCCCCCCACGGGAAGAAGAAATCGGTACGTTACTCAGGTAGGAGAAGACGTAGGAGGAGGTGTGATCAGTGAGACGGCAGCAGAACGGCACAAACGTGTTGTTTATGTCCCACAGTGATCTCTAGTTTACCCCAAAAAAACACATCTAAATATACGGAGCCTAGTGAAGTTGAAGACAGATTGCATTTAATGTTGCTGGACGTGTGGAAAACTCAGTTTGATGGGCTGGAATAGAACGGGCGCAGCTTTGTTAGGCTTCATTTTGTCACATATTGTAAACTTAATTCTGCGCTAAATTTTTATTTTTTTATTTTTTGTTAATACAAACTGAAGAATTTAAGCAACAGCTTCATCCACTACCATCCTCCATGTTTCACAGGGCAGCAGACCACAGACAAACATCTGTAAAGATGTGACTGCAGAACCAGTTATTCCTGAGTAGTTTGTATCTGGTCTGCTGCTGAACTCCTTCTTAAAGTGTGTCAAATGATAGCAACAACCAAAGCAGTTCTTATTTTTAGGACAGGGACCTGTTTTGTCTCCAAACTCTACTTACTGCTTTCACTTGGACGGTGTGATATTCTCTGTGGTTTTCGATATGGAAAATGTGAAAACACTGACACGGGGGCAACCTCAAGATTGAAATCTCTTGAAAATAAACCCACTTAAACACATCTGTTGTGTTGCACAGCTGGGTGGAAAATCAGAAAACAGTTGTTTTTATTCATATTTTATTTGTTTGCCCTTTAAATTCGCAGCTTCATTTCTGTAAGTATTCCCAAAACATCTCCCGTGAACCGCTCTTGTTGGAGTTCAGTCGTTTGACCCCTGTGGACATTTTTTTATTAGATAGTGAACTGAAATGAATCCAGGCTTGTGATAAGAGCTTGCCTTTCCTCACAGAGTGTAATATTTCAGTGTTAAATGGCTTCCATGCTGCTTTGCACCACACACAAAGGCAGTATAAACTAATGTGTGTGTGTGTGTGTGTGTGTGTGTGTGTGTGTGTGTGTGTGTGTGTTGCAGTGAAAGGTGCGTGGTCCTGCTGGTCTCCCTGGTCTCAGTGCTCAGTGGGCTGCGGCAGCGGCCACTACCAGCGGACACGCTCCTGTAACAGCCCCGCCCCCGCCAACGGAGGAGACATCTGCATAGGCCTGCACACCGAGGAGGCCCTGTGCAACACACACACCTGTGACGGTAAGGTCCCGCTT